ATCACATGGTATAAAAAGCTATGTCCTGTTATTAAGAATTTCTGTTTCACAGTAGTGGAAAATTATTTACAATGTTGCATAAGAGCTAGCATTTTCCAGTTATTATTCTGTCCTGTACAACGATTTGACCATATAATTAAGTTACGGGTCATGTTATCTTCTAAGAGGGGCAAAATGAAGGGTGACATATGCAAGAATGCATGAGAGGCAATTTCTGCAGAGCCTCGTTTTCCTTTAGTTTCGTCCCAAAGAAACATCATAGCTGTCATAGCACGATAGCTGTCTTTGGTAAAAGATATCTGCATGATTTAGAGTTGGGCAATACAGCATCTGTTGCAAGTCAACACAATGTACAAGTACCGTCTTGTATGCACCGTCAGCTCTAGCATAATGCAATTGACTCTCTATCTCTATTTGATTAAACAAAGGCATTGTTAAGCTGTTGTTGTTGACTTCATTTTTATGAAAAAAAGAGTCGCATTGTTTACAAGTAATCTGTGGCGCGGGACACCAAATCTTTAAATTAAATTTTGCTTTAAACATGTTCCGATAGTAGTGTAAATTAACTCTTGTACCAGGTTATTTTTCCTTAAAAAGATTCCACATTTTATATACACTTAACCCATTCATGCCCGTTGGCAACTACAGTTGCCACGCCTATGCATGTCTCCCTCTCCCCTCTCCGACATTCTTATTCGCAGAGTGCAGTTAAATTAGATGGAAGGGGTTATCGGCTAACAAATTCCGCAAAGCGACAGTTTGTATCTATCATTCAATTAGTTAGTATCGATAGTGTGCATAGTGGTGTTGTACGTGTATAATTATATTCATGGCCGCCGACAGTTCTATGTAAGTATACAAATATATAAAATGTATTTTTTCAAACAAATGATTTATTGTCTTCAATAGAAAAGCTTTTGTCGTCATTTTTAACAATAATTGTTATTCGCCAGTCATTTACTTTTTTCAATATACATATGATAAAAATGCATGGCAACTTGAGTTGCCACTGGGAATATGGATTATCATGTGATATTTTCAGGTATGTACGAGGAAGAGATGGAAAGGGGTTACTTTTTCACGAACTTCTTGAAGCTCTTAAAGAAGATAATGAAATGCCTGAGTATATATCGATTTGTCCACCTGAAGAACCTCCAGACGCAGACACAGACAAGGATTCCGATTTCTCGGATGAAGAAGTGGCTGGCGATACCAACCATCTTCCAGCTCGTATCCTGCGCTCTCAAGTAAGTGTGAAGTACAGTCATGAAATTGAAGCTGCTGATGATACCGAAAATGTTTCCCAACCGAGTACCTCTCGGCAGATTCGTATTTCTCAACCATCTGCTTCCAAATGTCCTAAATCTGCCAAACGGCCACGTTCTGGATCTTTTGAAAGAAACAATTAAGAGCCCGATTGACAGGTGTTATTTTACACAAGATACAATAGAGGACATTGTTTGCGAAACAAATTCTTATGCAGGGCAAAAATTAGTACACAACCTTAACGCTACTTCGGCAGAAATTTTAACGTTTGTTGGGGTTATGCTCTTATCGGGATATCACCCACTGCCTTTCAGACGGCTTTACTGGACCGTAGACGATGACGTTCACACACCAACAGTCTCAAATGCAATGAGACGAAATCGTTTCGATGAACTTATGAGTTTTATTCATCTCGCCGACAATCAGTCCAATGACGGTACTGATCGAATGTATAAAATTCGCCCTTTGTTTAATATGCTAAATTCTGCATTCAAGCAAATTACTCCTGGTCCCACTGTAAGCATCGATGAGAGTATGATTCCTTATTACGGGAGACATGGAAGTAAACAATTTATAAGGGGCAAACCCATTAGATTTGGGTACAAACTGTGGTAGCTGCCGATCCTTCGGGTTACATCCATTATGTTGAACCGTATTGTGGCTCTTCCACACGCCTTCCTCAAACTGGTCTAAGACAAGGTGGTGATGTTGTTCTAGGTTTAATTGATCACGTGCAATTGAAAAAAGGAAATAGACTTTATTTTGATAATCTTTTTACGTCGGTTGCATTGTTGCAAGAATTGAGTTTCAGAGAAATTGGAGGTACCGGAACATTACGTGAAAATCGATGTAATGCCGCAATGAAACTTCCAGAAAAAAGTGCGTGGAAAAAAAACAAAGAGATGACTTGGCTACTTCTTCGTCTGGTGATCTTTTGCTAGTTCGCTGGAATGATAAAAACGTTGTCACAATGCTTACCAATTATGACAAAGTCTATCCGATGAAAACGGCTAATAGATATTCTCGTGCAAAAAAGAAAAAGATCACAATCGATATTCCAGGTCCTATTGAACGGTACAACAGCAACATGGAAGGCGTTGATATAATGGATCAATTCGTGGCTTCTTACCGGTGCAGAATTAGATAAAAAAAATGGTGGTGGCCTTTTTTTCATGGGCTGTAGATGTCGCATGTGTACAAGGTTGGCTTTTATATCGCCGACTTGGTTATGACATATCATTGTTGAACTTAAGGCGCCAATGCACAGTGTACCTTTTAAATCATTTGGTACCCTTCCAAAAATACTTGGAGTCAAAACGTCATTGAATTTTTCACCTGTACTTCAAGAACTCAGAAAAGACCACACTGATTATATTATTCAGAAAGGTGCGTCCAAGTATCGTCGTTGTAAGATCTGTGGCAATCGTACATCCTATGTTTGTATTAAATGTGATATTGCCTTACACCCTGACAACTGTTTTAAAGTGTTTCACACTTAAAATTGATGTTATAACAGCCTTTAATAAATAAATACTATAAATACTAATGTTTTTTATTATTCTTATATTTACACCGCTTTATCCCAGTGGCAACTAGAGTTGCCAGGCTGCCATTTTGGCACTTAGATACTGATATGATTTTTAATACCATTTTTACATTTAAAGTACCATAGAAATTCCGTGACTAAAATATTACACAAAAAAAATCACTAGGGAATTCTGGGCATGAATGGGTTAAATAAGGTGACAAACACTGTTTGCTACTTTGATGTCTAGAATAGTGATTCTCTTGTAAAGGAAATGAAGATACATGGCTCATCTTCACTCACCCGTCGCTGCTTCACTTCAATAATCTTAATGCAAACCTCATTTAGATACTACGAGAGATATTACGATGACTGGCCGTTGTAGTCGAGTTTCTAAAATTCCTGGTACAAAACTACTTTGTCCTCATCCTAAATGTCCTTACAATGGTTTTGGCAACTGCAGACTCGACCATAAAACCCAAACAAATTATAACACGTTGGTCCCAAAAAATGGTTATTTATTGGTTAAAATTGAAAATGCCTATAACTGTATTAGTGTTTTGACTTGAGTTGTAAAGCTCAAGTTAAATAACGCTGTTTTAAAAGCAAAAACTGAAAACTTCGACAATGCACAATATTATGAAACATGGCGCTTATAACGTTACTGCACTCAATTCATGTGGAGGAAGTTTTCCTGGCTTAGGCTTCCTCTTCTCAGTTAAATAAGGTTCCCCTGCATTTCTAAAAACCTTATGCACATTTCTAGATCAGTGAACGATGTTAAGTTTCCTGCTTTTACTTCGGTTTAACCGATTTATATATTTTTCTTCTTCGTTAAGTGCCATCTTCGTTCCGAAGGTTAGCGATCATCAGGGCTATACGTATTTTCGAAACTGCTGACCGAAACAATTCGTTGTTGCTACAGCTGTACCATTCCCGTAGATTCTTTAGCCAGGAGTTTCGTCTTCTTCCTATGGACCTTTTTCCTGCTATTTTTCCTTGCATAATTATTCGAAGCAGTTCATATCTTTCGCCTCTTGTAATGTGTCCCAAGTATTACAGTTTTCGTTTTTTGATCGATTTATATCAGATGGTGTTAAACTGACACACAGCGATGTAGACATCTTTGGGCGCTTGGGACGTTACTGCGTAACAAGATCCGAAAAATGGCGGGCAACGCTAGTGAAAGTGCTGAGAACCTTTATGATAACAATATGAAAACACCTTTGCAATGTCTGGGATATCGTATAGAACGTTTCTAAACAGAAAACCCGATTTTAAACACTATGTCGCTTAGAACGTTACTGACGGGAGCCATTCAATTGAAGAACGAATAATTCGTTTGGCTGAATTTAGTATGTACGCTTTCGAGTAAAAGTGTCGAACGTCGTCGCGATTTTGTTTTGATTTTTTTATTTGTAATAATGAAATGGAATCTAATTCTTATTTTTTAAAACTAATTGGTTTATGTCGAGAGCGCGAATTTTTATGGAATCCAGTGCATAAAACTTATATGAGTCAATAGTAGCTAAATATCGTAGGATTAACATTAACCTTTCTGTTGGGGGTATCAGAAAGTAAATCAGTAGACTTCATTTTACAAAAATTTTGAAAAACACCCGTATTCCATTTCAGTTTCTAGATCATTAAATAAGTCCATCCCTTTATACCGGTCCATGCTTTTGAAAAATTATGTGGTTTATCAGCGCCGTTTTACAGTTTTTCTCGCGAAAATTACCCGCGAAACTGAAGTAATGACTGCAAACGAATTCGTTCTCTAATGTGGACGAAAGACCAAATTTTCCATCGAACGTCAAAAACATCGAATGAATTCGGTAGAAAGACTTCTTTCACATGCGTTCGTCAGATGTATACGCGCCTTTACATGCCATTTCTTCTGTCGTAGTGGTCCTACATTCAAAATCTGCTCATTCACGAAGCGCATTAATTAGTTTATACTATGTAGATTTTAAAGAACGTTAGATAATAACGTGACCATTCAATAATCCGTAAATTATGTTAAAACTTTTTTCATTTTCATGTTTTATTTCTTTACATTTTAACTGCATTCTACATTGCTTTTATTAGGTTGGTCATAAATTAATTTATTAAAGTTCAATAGTCGCAATAGACTTTAACTTGTTCACAGGTATCACGTAACGGAATGGTTTTACTTTATGGATAATTCTCAAAGTAAATCTCAATAAAGATGATCGCAGGGAAAATTTCAAATGCAGGTATATTGCCGCAGTAAAAGATATAAAAGATATTCCACCGTTATTGTTATGTGCCTTGCAGAATTGTAAAAATGGCTTGGAAATACGAAACTTTTTTGGTTATTGCAATACCCGTTGTTATTGGACTTTCTGTAAATTCCTTAAAAGCCTTTTGAATATTTTATGTTTGGCACTTTGATAATTGTCGCAATATTATTTATAAAGTATAAAAATTAGTCTGTTTCTATTCTAATATTGTAATATTATAAATAAAAGGTAAACTGGCAAGACAATAAATGAATCACGTGAAATAATTTCAGAGGCGCAGTTACCAAAACTTCTGTTTTAACTATATAGATTGATTCGTGTATAAAACATTTACGATTTTATGCTATTTACATTATCTTTATTCTTATCTTTGATGTTGCTTAGTGATGTCTGATGTGAGATCTTCTTTTAGACTTTCTCAGATTCTATGAACGTCTTTTATCGTTATTTCTTGTTTTAAGTTTGTAATGTCCTTTTTGCTGTTTTGCATTACTTGTTTCTATATTACCGTTTTTGATGTTTATTATATGAAATTTTATATTACCTATTTATCTTGAAAGTGCTGTATTTTCGAAAAAGATTTTATAATCTTTCAGTGTGCAAAATAAATTAACATGACGTTAAGTATTTGTTAAATTTGTTCGAAATGATCTCTTCAATTGCAAAACGTGTTGAAATTATTTACATAGTTTTTGATAATTGAAAATATGCAAACATATTAGCAAAATTGTTTAATAACTCTATTACACTTACGAAAAAAAAAAAATTAGTTAAAAAATTTCATGAACCTAATTAATAAACTAATCATGATCATTATCATCATCAATGGCGTTATAACTCTGCGTAACTATATAACGGCGTTTACTATTGCCTTTAATTTTGTTTTGGTCTTGTGCTATTTCGAAATGTACTATTTCGCATTGTCTCAATCCACTGTTCTCCAGATCCTCGCTGACTGCATCTTTCCATTAGTTTCTAGATTGTCCCATAAACCTTCTCCCACCTGGTCTTTCCTAAAATCTATTGTTTTTATGTGATTTTTGTTACTGCGTATCATATGTCCTATCTATCTTCTATTGTCGTTAGTCTAAGTCTATTAGCCTTAGTTGATTGCCTATTTAGTCCTGCCAGACTACACCGGAATGGAACATCGATATATCGGATTCTCGATAACCAGAACGAGGACCACCAATGCGGTCTGTGCTTCCTAAACGTTGGGGGGTAGATGCTTCTACGGAAATGACTGGTAGGTGTACGAGGAGTTGATTAAATGGAGAGTGAGCATGATGCAGGTAAGGTGAAAAACCTGGAGAGAGTCATTAAAAAAGGGATGAAAGGAAGCAAGATAGGTCGCCGATATTTTAACAGGATGCTATATTCGTGGAATGCGGATATCGAGGTACTGAAAAATGAATGTATAGCAATGAGAAGAAGGTAAACGAGAGCAAAGAGGAGAGTAGGGATTAACCCTGATGACATAAATGAGATCTAGGAAGTATAGAAAGGAGACCTAATTGTTAAAAAAAATTGTCATATTTAACAAAATCAGACGATAAGTAACACAGGACGGTATCCTGGCTTTAAATAGGCAGGTTGTCAATATAAGAGCGACAGTTAGTGAAGCCCCAATAAAAGATAAACAAACCTTTCGATTTATCGAATAAATTAACGATAGATTGACAAATCTTACCGCATAAAATGCAGGTTTCATTACAATTAAACCACACAAAATATTATCTACGAAATAATCATCACAGGCCATTTTCGACAGACAGCTAAGGACTAACTGAAATTGGGCCTTGCTATTTCTTTTATATGTTTTTCCATGAGAAAGTAATTTTTAATGTCTGATATATCATTTAAAGTGAAGTTTTCACAACCAGAACTAATTTATTATGAAAAGGATTTTTCACCTAAGAAGACCGCTTTGCAATTAAATGCTGGTAACTTTATTACTAGCGGACCAGATAAGCGGTTATATATTTTACACTACCTTTATCAATAACATTTTACTGCTCTGTTGGTTCAATCAGCACTGCTCAACAAGTTATCGTTTATTGGTCTATAATTTTATTGCAATGTTATTTTTTTTAAATTTTTTTTGACGTATCGTATAATGTAGGTTTACCCGATAATCAAAGTTATGCATTTACAAGAACATATTATTTGAAAAATAAGGACTTAATACCATGTATGATAATAATTGTAATCTCAGGAAAAAGGACAGTTAAAATTTTATACATACTTCAAAAATTTGTTTAGTAATGTATTTCTTAAATCAATACAATCATTGAAAAATGATTCATGCTGTTTAAAATATCTTTCTGTTAACGACAAAGTAGATCAATTTCAAACGTCATCATATTTCTCTTCTGTTTATCGTTAAAAATTAATTGGTGGTTGTGGGTTGCATTTTGTGTTTTAATATTTTAACAAAATACATAATCAGCAAAAACCTTATTTAAAACATGGGAACGGTTTTTGCAATCACAATCAATACAGTGTTTATGCTGGTTTAGCATTGGCTGTTAAATAATTTGTGTTCAATTGTTTCGTCTGTTGTATAATCCTCGTCGTTTTTAGGGTGTAGTAGTAGTGAAGCGGTACTTTAAAGCAAAATGAATAATTTGGAAGAAAATAAAATACAGTCGAAACGTAGAGTGTTATCTCCAGAAGAACGGCATTTAGTTCTAAAAGTCGAAAGTTATTTCAATTTAGAAAAAAATAATATGGGTCCATTGGCATCTGTTATAACAGTTCAAGAAAGCACATGCGATGCTTGCGGTATCTCAGAGAGAATATTCCGAAGAATTAATAGCATAAGTGAGGATGAAATCAATAAAGTAAGCAAGAGAAATCGTCATCATCCAAAAACTTTAGATTTGCATCAGTCAATTAAACTTGCAATTAAAAATATTATATATAATATGTATATAAAAAAAGAACATGTAACAGTTAGTGCTGTGTTGAAAAAAATAAAAGACAAGGAACTGCGTGATATTAGTTTAACAAGTTTGTGGAGAGTGTTTAAACATTTAGGTTTTCGATATAAAAAGACAAATGATAGACAAGTATTGTGTGAACTCTCTAATGTTGTTTCAAAATGGTGGCATTTTTTAAGAAAATACATGAATAATGAAATGTCTGATAGTCCGAGGCAAGTTGTATTTTTAGATGAAAATTGAATTTTCGCTAAAGGAAATATGTCAAAATCATCTTGACGAGATGGCGCAACGAAATGGTATTCTTCTAGTCGTTCCAGTAATGGTAAACGCTACATTATACTTCATGCTGGAAATGATGAGGGTTTTATTCCTGACGCTAGTTTAATTTTTTCGTTTACAAAGAATACAGGTGATTTCCATGGAAATATGGATGCAAATATTTTTGAAGAATGGTTTGTAGAAAATTTGTTAAAAAAATTGGAGCGACCATCCATAATATTCTTGGATAATGCATCCTACCACTCAAGAGTAGAAGAGAGATTTCCTTTAAGTAGCAGGACAAAAGAAGAAATAAAGTTGTGGTTGACAGAAAAGAAAATTTATCACAGTGACATATTTTTAAAAGTCGATTTACTTCAATGGTGTGGAGAGCACAAAATTTAAAAGCACTTTGTTACTGACCAAATGGCCATTAAATATGACCATGAAGTTCTTCGACTTCCGACCATTGCCAGTATAATGCAATTGAGTTATTTTGGTGTATAGCCAAAAATTTTTATGATAAACATGCATCCAAAACAAAAGATGACGCTATCGTTCTTGGTTTATGGAAGGAATCACTAAAACAGATAAAGGCAGAACAATGGCAAAATTGTATTAGATAGCAAAATTCAGATAGTGACGACTCTGCTAGTGAAATATCAGACAGTGAATAGGACAAATCGTTTGCTAAAAAGAAGAAACAAAAAAATGTTTCGGGAATTCAATTCAAACTTTATGGTATGTTTTAGTTAAATGATAAGGTACCTTTGGTCTAATTACTGGACTGCATACTCTCAATAGTTTTGGTATTCATTACTGCACTACAGGTGTTTAAACATTTTGTTTTGCTGAAAACTCGGAAGTGATTTAGTGGCAATTTGTTTCAAGGTTATATTTAATACAGTGTCTGCAGAAAGTAAAGTCTTGGATATATTTTATTCAAATTTGGACATACCAACTTGGCAAGTATTTTCCAATTTAACTGCGTACAAAACCATTCGTATAATTTTTACTCTACGCAAAATAAAGACGTATAGAGACCTTGATGAACATTTGATGTCGACAAATAATTTCAATTATTCGAAATATTCCGTCCCACTTCTTTAAACCGCCCTGTATATACATATTATATTCATTTTATTTGCCTTTGATACAGTACAATCCAATAATATTACTGAACATAAAATACAGGAAATTAAATATTTTTACTTTTCAAGCGATCGAAATTAAATATTAACGCCCCACTGTTTGAGGCCCACTGATCACATCTTAAATGCATATCGGCCTTCATAGGCTAAAAGGAGTTTACCGATAATCCACGTGTATTTGTAGCTGAAGTCAATGAAATATTAACAAATTAATAAACAATAATTTATGTGTATATCGACATTGCCCGTACATAATAGAGTAGAAATTAAAAGCCTGATTCATACGATGCAACAGCTGTATTCAAAACATCTCACAGTTTCCTCGTAATCTCTACTAGTTTAGTATAAATATCCTCTATCAAAATAGATAGTTTCTATATTAAATTCAGTGCAAGTGGCAGTGTAAATAAGAAAATTTTCAATCGGATTTAAAAATATCACTAATTTATAAAACCGTGAAAAATGTGCCTAATATAAAACTACAAAATGTGCCAAAACGATTCTAAAAAAGTTGGTATCGATTACTTGATTTAAGGTGATCCAATAAACACACACTTATACGTTAATGTGGTAGATAAAGACGGTAAATAAATTCTGTATCAGTTAGATGGGATACAAC